AGAAGACATCAGAATTTTCGGCCTTCAGCCAGTGAGAAAACCCACAGGCACCGGCTTCTTGACTAAAAACCCACTGGTATGTATTGCCGTAGGCCTGCGAAACCATGGTATTGCGGGTGTCCATATCAGCAAAGCTGAGACTGCGTAATATTGCCGTATCGATCCACTGACTGGAAGTCAAGCACTGCCCCTTCAGGTCCGGCTGCCAGTCGGATGACCAGAGGTCATCAGCTAGCGTCTGTGCTTGCTGCTCTCGGGCTTCCTTCTGGTTCTCTATACCGGTGAGTTTCCACGCTCTGATGTTGGCGACTTCCTGGATGATATGCTTCTCTGCTTCTCCGAGTCGGCGCGAGATGTCATCCAGCCTCTGGTTGATCGTGTCGTCTAACTTTCCCATCAATTTGGAATCTTTCCTGTATATCTAAGATTAGATGTGTACCAAATACGGCCTGTTTCATCCGTCAGAGTGGAGAAAAGATAGTCATACCAGATGGAAATCATTATCGCTATCATCATCTTGGAGCGTACTTGCTCCAATCTTTCCTTAAGAGCCTCGACTTGCCCATCCTTCCATAGCCCTCTGGCAGCCACTGCAAAGCTGCTTTTCGCAAAGCTCAACTTGGAGGTGCCTCGAGCCGTTAAACTTTCGACCGTAGACGTTATATCGGCGCCGATGCGCTTGCACTCCTGACATAGCTCGAGGACCTCCTGATCGGATTCGTTCGAGACAAAACGTGTTATTTCTTGCTCTATTCGAGTCTGTACTAACGAGAGATCCTTAGCTATCTGGGATAACCTGACAGTGCGTTCAGAGCGACCGCTTGGTGATTTGTATACTCGGTACCCAGTGGATACTAGAGCGCAAGCAAAGTCGACAAACGCGACGACCGAAGCACCGACCTGGAAGGCTGTTATTGGATCCATGGCTTGTAGGACGGGCGGTACGGGCTGGTGCAGTTTTTGGGAGTGTGGTACTGGATTTTGGGATACCGTAAGAAACGTGGGTGCCAGTCGAGAATTAAGCAAAAACCGGGTCTATCAGCCTCGGCCATTTCGGGTTCGTGGCGTCCAATTACGTCCAGTTCACTGCGAAATCGAAGACCTTGGCGACCCCACTCTGACTAGGTCACTTCAAGGGATTCCAGAGGCCGCCGAGCACCTAAACAGCGTGGTTGACAGAAAGCCTTGCACCGCCGCAGCACTAGTGATCTAGAGTACGGATCCGTACAGCCACCACCAAGCCGAAGGCTGAAGCCCAAGCCTGGCTACCTGGCAGGCTTCACTATTGTGATAACCGCAATGATTGGCCAACCAGTGTGGGGCCGCGCAACCGACGGAACTTAAAAGAATCTAGGAGATTCCCGATGTTGAGTAATGAGAAGACCACCATTGGGTGGCGCCGTCCACCTTGCATCTGAGACGAAAAAGCCCGCCGTTGCGTCCCTGATAAGCGAAGCGCCTTACAACCAACGGGTAACCCATAATGCCTTCCGTCGGCGTATTCCCATGGAAAGGTCCCCCAGTATTGAAATCAGCAGCATATTGATATATATACGTGATGAATGAATATATACATAGAAGTAACCCCCTTCCCGTCAATGATCTATGCATAAACCGACGGATCCGCGTTCTGGACCAGCATCTGGACATACTCATCATGCCAAGCACCAGCCCTCGGCGCGCCAGGGAACCCGCACTGGCCATCGCTCTCGCCGCCCGGCTTGATCCACACCAGGCTGTCGACGACGGTGTTGTTGGTTGTGGTCGTCGGCGCGGGCCCGAAGCCCGCCGGGGCGACGTTGCACCACTCGCCCCACTCCTTGCGGGCACCGGGGAGATGGACGCGGCCCTGGTCGACGATGAAGTGGGCGGGCAGACCCTCGGCCTCGAGGAAGGGGGCCAGCGAGGAGGCGTAGTGGCTCTCGTCCCACGAGTTGCTCCACTCGGTGTAGTTCTCGCGCACGAGCGCGTTGAAGGGGTTGTAGTTGGACACGTTGGTCGCGAAGCCGCGGATCTTGTTGGTCTTTTTTGGACCTGGGCCCTTGGCGCCAAAGGCCGTGATGTTGTTCGACAGGCTGACGACGGTGGCGAACTCCTTGGCGGCCAGGGGGAGGTTGTCGTTCCAGCCGAGCCAGCCGCCGTGGGCGGCGTCCATGTACAGGTGCACGTGTGGGAACTGCAGCGAGGCGATGGCGTTGGCTATGCCCTCGCGGTAGACGGGGGCCGCCTGCGCGCAGAACTCGATGCCCATGTTGGTGACGAGGTTTCCGAGCGAGTCGGGCTCGAGCACGATGGCGAAGTCGAGATCCGGGGCGGCCGCGACCTTTTCGGCGTACGGCTTGAGGAACTCCTTCTTGTACCTCTCGAGACCCTTCTCGCTGCTCTTGAGCTCGCCGGCACTCTCACCGGCGCTGCAGTCGCGGTCGGGCAGATTGTACAGGACCAGGCCGACGATCTGCTTCTTGCCGGTGCGCAGGCGAGCCTGGCGGGCCGCCTTGATGGCGTTGTCGATGTTGGACAGCTCCGACATGCGTGACACCCACACGAAGGTGCTCATCGACTTCTGGATCTTGCGCACTCGCTCGGCGTTGACCTTGTCTCCCTGCTGCTTGAAGGCGGCATAGGTCTGGTCGAGCTTGGCCGTCCATGCCGGGTCGACAAAGTGCGTCTTGCCCTGGAACGGGTTGACGTCCTTGGGCGGCGCCGGTCCGGGCACGGGCAGCGGCGGGGCGGCAGCGACGACGCTGGCGGCCGAGAGGGCCGTGACGAGGGAGGCGACGGGACGCATTGTCAGGAAAGAGTGAACAGCAACCGGGGAAACGAGTGACTTGGCTGGTACCGGTAGCTGGCCGACATGTTTGAGGCAACGGTGGCCATGGTCGTCCTTTATAGCTGATGGTGTTCGGTGGCGTGCTTCCGAGATTAGGTCATCGAGATCGCTTCCCCGGATTGTCGTTCCCCATGTTTTCTCTTGTCCCCATTGTTTTCTTCGGAGTCGCGGTTAGCAAAGCCATCGGACCCTCCCAGGACAGTGGGGACGGCATGGAAACCAAGCATCGCGGAGATTCGACCGCCGGCCAGCCGACCCACCCCAAATGAAACGGCCTCGCGCCGAGCGATGCTCGCTCCCGGATAGTCACCCGTGCAGCCGTGCCCAGTGCTGCAACGGGAAATCACGCCTTGAATCGCCGCCCTTCTCGCCCTTCTCGCCGCTCCGACGGCAGACGAGCCGATCCGAAATGAAGAGCATTAGTATGAATTGCATTGGCTAGGAAGTTAGGTGGAACATTCTAAGCGATTCTACTTTGTATCGTGAGGAGTGGGACGAGCCTATGTACGGTATCCCTATAGTGTGTCGTCGGGAAGGGACGTTGGAGCGAGGTCGTATGGCAAGTATACCGAAAGGAATAGAATCAACCGTTCAAGTTTGCCGCTACAAACACCATGTCCGGTTCTAGAAACGCCTTCATCGCCACAGCTACTCCGGGTGCATGTTATAATGCGGAGGGTTACATAAGGTAGTCTTGAAGACAAGTATCTGCGAAGCGAACATCGAGTTGGTATTGTGTAAGGCACAACGGTACATCTGCAGAACTTCAAAGCGTAACGACAGCCTCTGCCACTTACCCCTGAAACCTGAACCCCTGAAAACAGAAAACCACAAATCACAGAAGCCCTCACCAAAGCTTGTTGTTAAGCATCTTGTCGCCTCCCTACCCAACATCCCGATGCCTCATAGGCTCATAAGCCGACTCCTGCGCCGTCACATTGGCCGTAACCCCCTTCCCGCCATCTCCATACGACCCACCGCCGCCACCGCGCATGGGTGACGGCTCTCTAGAAGGCGCTCGCGAAGAGGAATGAATGAGTTCGATGTGGGAACCAGCATGCAAACCGTCCTTCCCGTCTGGACCGAGATGCTGATACACGCCCCCACGACCACCCACGACAGTGACACGACCACGGCTAGAGGGCGAGGCGGAACGCGCGCGCCGGAGCCGGTAGTTACGGTATAGGATGAAAGTTTCTACGAGGGCGCACGCGCACGAGACAGAGGTCACCAGCCAGCAGGCGCGGGTGTAGTAGGGGCCGCTGGGATTTGTTAAGAGACCATTTGTGCCAAACGCGGCTGGGAAAGAGAGAGAGAAAGAAAGCTTACCCCTGAGCGGAGATTCGCCCGGTCCCAGACACCTTAAGCTTAGGAAGGCCGCTTGCCAGATTCGCCGCAAAGATCTGCGAGGTGGCGCTGGTGGTGCAGAGACACGCCATGGAGACCCACGAGACGAGGCAGGATGCGACTTTTGCGTAAAAGTAGAAGAAGCCGACGAGTTTGAGCATGACCGACAGGCCGGTTGCGCACGTGCCCGCCATCATGCTGATCCAGATGATGCGAGGGTTTTGGCCAATGTAGTTGTTTTCGACGAGGTCGACGCCCCAGACGCGCCAGACGCGCCAGAGCCTCGTGGAGAATGTGAGCGGCGGAGAAAGGAATGGTACCTAAGGAGAGAACTCACCATTGGAGGTCAAAGTGATGGCCCCAGGGCGAGCAATAGTCCGCTTCGTAGTTGTAGGCTACGTTGCCGTAACTGTCCTTCTTTTCCGTTTTCAGTCCGCTGCAGTAGAGAGAAGGGAAGATGGCGAAGAAATCTTTTCTTTTGAAGAAGTCGTGCGAGTCAGGGAGTCCGTAGGGGTCGCTGGGATTGAACTTGTAGTCATCCGCGTCAACCTGCGAGGTGTTAGTTGACGGTTTGAATACGGAGTACGGTACTCTGTGATCGTACTCACCATGACGGCATACCACCCTGAGGAGTTGGGGAGTTTTTCAGCGTTCAACAATCAACATCTATGTCACTGACTACTGGTCACTTTGCTCGATTCTTGGTGATATTTCGTCTCAGCCATCCTACGGTGCAGGAAAACAGTAACATTTCCTAAGACCTGCTTTGTTTTAACACAAGCCAAAGGTTTTACAAGTGCAATTTTCCATACTCGGCTTTCAAGGTTCTATAGTGTAGTGGCTATCACTTCGGATTCTGATTCCGGCGACCCCGGTTCGATCCCGGGTAGGACCTACTCGCGTTGTTTTTTGGCGGTGGTTTCGAGTTGTATTTGTGCTGCCTTTTTTGTCTCGTCTTTTTGCCTGCCAAGCACAAAAAGGGGGGCGGCGCTCCACTACCTACCTAAACACGCAGTGATAACCACGGTTACCCAAATCCATTTCTTCTTTACCTGGCCGGGCTGGCCCCATCCGTTTGCCTGCAAGTCAACAAGCAAATGTAAGACAGTGACATCAGTCTGGCGTGTACCAGCCGCACTGGTGACCCAGTGCCCGTCAGGGTGCCTGAATCCTCACAAAAAGTAGGCCCTGCAAGTGCATGTCCTGGAACACGGTTTCCAAGACCTCCTGGTACATAACCGTGGAGCATATGTTTTAGATGATGGAGAACGAGATCGCAGATTCTCAGATGTGGGCATGAATCAAGGCCAGATTTCATTCATTCATCGTAGGAGATCCGTCCAGCTCCAGAAGTAGCAGGATCAGAAACAAATCTCGCCCCCTAGGCCCTAATGCCAGCCCAAGACCACCAAAATCACCCAACCACCCAAAGACGTCCGACCAACAACTACCTCCCATGTTCGACCTGATGACTGTCTCAACAACTGCAGCATCTCCCCTCTTTTCCTCCTTTCCACCCCTCTTTTCCTCCTTTCCACCCCTCTCCACGCGTCCAGACTCAAGTGGCCTGTCCAAACTTGTATTGCATTCAGACCTATTATGCAGCACTCGCTGTCTCTGCGAGTATCCACTGCCTTCCCGCCACAACAACCCCCAATTGGCTGTCCGGATGCAGTCAAACGGGTTGTCGCATCTCAGAGATGATACGTCTGTTTTTCCTCTGTCGTTGCCCCGCCTGTTCCAACCCAGCCACTCAGCCGTCCTGTTGTCTTTCTGACTGGCGAGTCATCCAGCCCGCAGACAAGAATCTGGAGGGCAAACACGTTAAGGGTGATATAAGAGGCCACGCTTGCTGGTTGGCTGTCCCGGATGCATGCTGGCGATGGTGATTGATATCTGGCCTGATGTGGTTGTTTGCTACAATATAGTCTTTGATCCGCTTCTACACGCGATCCGCGCAACGTCCCCGACGAACCACGTATTAGTCGCCCTGGAACTCCCACTGGTCGACGGCCGCCTGCGCCATTTTCTTGGCCCGGGCCGTAGCGTAGGGGTCCACCCGCGGCGCACGAGCATCGCCCAGGAGCGAGTGCTGCGGTTTCATCCGTCTCGGCCGCCACGAATTCGAATGCCCTGGTGATCTGGCCGGCGAGCGATTAGCGCAGTTAACATTGATAGCTCTAAAGGCAGTCCCCATGAGGCTATCATCGTGGTCCGTCATATGCTGTGGCTGGTCTCCCGACTCTTCTGGCTCCGGGTCCTCGGGGTCTGAGAAGTCTGACTCCTCCGCCTCGTAGGCAAATGTTCCCGCCGTGTCCCCTGGCTGCGGCGGAAGACCAAGACACAGCTCATCCAGGGAGCTGCTCCTGTCGCCGACCTGGATGCAGCCGCTATTCCCGTCAAAATAGACGGGTAGCCGTAGGGTGTCGGCCGCTTTCCACGGCGCCTTCCGATTCCTTTTGTATTTCTGCATCAGAACCAGAATCACATCGTCGTTGGACCCTTCGAGTTCCATCCGAAACTTCCATTGTCCTTGAGATCTAGTGCCGAGATAGACCACGTCGTAGGCCCGGCTTGCAGCGACCGAGTTCCGTTGGTCGCCACCCAGTCGCTGGAAGAATGGATCGCAGATCAAGCGGAAGTTATCATTGCGCCGAACCGAGAAAGTCGCTTCGCGTGCGTCAAACTGGAGTCCAAGTCAGTCCTTGCATCAACTCAACCGCGAAGCATCACATTACCCCATCAAGTACTAGAGCTGCTGACTGATCCCATTCTTGGTGGGCTTTTGGGTTTAGTTTTGCCACAGCCTGCCTCATCTGGAGTCCAATGGCAGCCCCGCGACCTAAGAACTGCTCAACCGTGAGCATCTCGCTGACGGCAAATGCAGCGGCCTTGGCGACTTTGGCTGAGCTGGGAAGGCACTTGGTTAGACGGGTTGACGTACGAAGGGAAAGATAAGACCGCTTACTCGTATGTTATGTGAATATCAAAATCATCAGTAAAGACGACTGGCACCCCGCGCCGCTCGCAGATCTCTAGCATTCGTGACTTTACCGCTGGGTTGCGGGCGGTGCCTCCAGATACCACAACCAGAGCCGCATGGATCCGGTCATTCTCCTCCATCTTCACAAGCCGCGAGATCTCGTGCTGTGCTTTATCCAGCGGTCGGTCCAAGCCTTTCCGCCAGGCCTCCTCAATCGTCTTGCGCGTCAGGTTGACGCGCCAGGATGAGCCCTCGTCGTCAAGAGCAAAGGTCAGCGTGATCTTCTCAGGCACATCCTCTGCCTTCCTGCCCTTTTGTATGCGAAATCGAGAGAGCGCGTCCTCGCGGTGCTCGGGTGGCGGAGGCGACCCTATCACTTCTGTCCATAGACGGGAGAACCACTCGCCTATGTGGTGCTCCCACTGCTCGGAGCCTCCTCCGGCGCCTATCAACCATCACTTAGTTCCGGTACTGCTGACAATGTTTCAGTTATCTTACCGAAAGGCTTCCCGGCGCGGAAAAAGCTATTCGCCTCTGGGTGATCCTCATCGCGGGCGACTCCAAACACACAGCCATTCTGAGAAGCATATTAGCCACAGCCGCAGTACCTTGCTCGTCTACTTACCATATTGTGACCGCCAAAGTCAAAAAACGCAATGCTATCGTACCTGTTGTCCGGGTCGAGCTCATGAGAGTGAAACTTGAAAAGGTATCTTGCGAGCGCTTCCGTCTCGGTGTAAAAGAAGATGGACCGAGTGTCCAGCCCGAAAACTTCACAGACGAGAGCGCGATACACATCCTCAAACTCCAGAGTCCACTGGACGGGAATGGTGAGGCCGACCCGGGCAATGCGCAGCCTTTTCCGCAGACACATGGTCGAGATCAGATCCTGCAGGACCGAAAGCAAAGCCACCACGCCCTCGCGGAGCCTCTCTAGAAAACTTTGGTCGTCCTTTCTTGCCATTAAAGGATGAACAGAGGGGTACTGTTCTAGCAGCGCGTCGGACGCGTTTGCGAGGGCGTAGAAGACGTACTTTGCTGACACGGACTGGCGGCTGGGGTCGTGGCGGTCGATGAGATAGACTGGGCCCGAGTCATCAAACACATACAAGTTGGAAGGAAAGTCGCCGGCGTAGCAGTTGCTTTCGAGCCCAAAGCTGTACTTGTTCTGAATGATGATCTCGATTCCGCCGTGCCAGATACAGGCCCGTGTCCTGTGGCTGCCGATGTCGATGCCGAGATAGCTGATGGCGGCAGGCACGGGTTAGAGTGTGTTCTCGTGACTTCAAATTCCTGGGGAGCAACTTGCGCGTCTTGTAGCTCGGAGCCAACTCCCTGGCTTGATAGTCCCGACGCTTCTGAGCGGCGGTAGGCCATTTTTGAAGAGGTGATCGACCCTATCGGATCCGTGGAGGATCCAGTGAAGCTGGAGTTGGTGGAAGAGGAAGTGGAGGTGGGATGGAATGTGAGGGAAGGAGAGAAGGAGGAAGGAACAACCGTGACAACCCAGCTCTTCCACGCCAACAGGGATGCCCCGCCCGTTGCAGGAGAGAGACACTTCTGTCGCTTTCTGCGGGTGTCCGCCAAAAAATTCGAACATTTACTTGCTTCAGCCACTCGAGCGTGGAACCTGGAGCTTTTGTTCCCTAAGGTGCGGCCATGAACCCGCTTTTCCGGCCAGCCAATTGCAAGGATCAGCCCCAACGTTCGGCTGGCGATCGCAGCCCACAATCTTGTGTCTCATTGGCTCGATCAGCGGGCTTTGTGAGTCCAAGATTGCGAGGCGTGTTTGTGGCCCTGCGTGGTCTGAAAGTCAGCAGCTCCATTGGTTCCAGAAAGTGCAAGTGGAGCCTGCTCGTGAGTCTCTTCATGGAAAAAAGAAAGCAAACGGCAGGGTACACGTTCCACCTGCCCCGGCCCATGAGCTGAAGGTACCTGGCAGGGATGGAGCAGGTGAGAAGTGAATGTTAACGACGGCGGCGCACTTGAAAAGTGGCTGCAAGGAGCTCTTGCCCGCGACCATCCACTTTTCTCGGCCTCTGCCCTTGGCTCCCACGTTTCTGTTTCAACGCAAACCGACATCCGTTCCGCCCGGCAAGATGGGACCCCCGCAGCAACAACACGAGGGCCTGATTGAAAAGTGCTTCAGGGAGAGGCTTCAACATATCCAAAAACAACGCGACGACGCCAGTCAAAGCATGGGCGACCGCCTTCTTGCCCTGGTCGCACAATACAAGAAGGAGGAGCAAGCACTTGTTGACTCGTACTCTGTCTGCCTCAACCAGTTCCGCACCATCCATCCCGGTCTGGCCGCAACCTGCGAGTGGGCCAAGCCATGTCCCAGTGTTCCCGAGATGGAGTTCTGGGAGCAGGACGGCCTCACCATTCGCTATGAACCCCTTCGAATCGACAGCCCGCCTCGTCGCCAACAACCGCCTAAAAGAGATGGTGTCGCGAAAGAAGCTCCCGTTGCAAAAGAGCCTCCCGACACGGGACCGCCCTCGCCAGCCACGCTGCCGTCCAAGATACCGTCCAATGTCTCGAACCAAGGACGGCGGTCCCAGGCTCACGGCCTGGCCCTCAAATCTTCCCCTCCGACCCCAAGTCTTACGAGGTCGGCCTTGGATCCGCAGAGCCCGGATGTGCTGGGCCCATGTCCTCCTAGGCCGCAGAAAAGGAAGCGGTCCGCCGAGACCCCGGCTCCCAGTTCGCCGCCGAAGCAGCCATCAGCATCCATCTGTGGCAAAATGGTGGTATTCAATCTCGGGAGCGAACGAGCTGCATCTCTCGGCGCAGACAAGGTGCCATCTCCAGTTCAGAAGACAAAGGGGCCGACGAGGAGAACGTACGTTCGTGCAAAGTGTGCTGAGTGCAGAATGCTCCAGAGAAACTGCAGCCGGGGGTTGCCCTGT